CCGCCTCAACAGCCTGCAAGGTAGCACCACCACCACCAAACCCACATCCACCATTACTTCCAACACCACCATCATCGTCGTTGTTGTCAGAACCAACGGCACCACCACCTCAGCAACATCTCACCATCACTAATGTCTCACCGCCACCACCACTACAACACCAACAGTACCCACACCCCATCTTGCTACTCCAAAGCACTACAACACCAACAGCACCCACCAGTGATGCCGTCACCACCGTCGACATCACCACCACAACAACAACAGTAACACCACCACCACCGCGACGAGCGTCGTACGGACAGCGGCGCTGAGGCACTCAAATCAACCCAAAATCTCTTGCCACTTCATTAGTCCCCACCAATAGAGAAACTCAAACCACAAAACCACTACACACCGGCCTCAACCATCAGATCCGCCATTGTTAGCCACGACACAATTCGCACAAACACCATCACCACCACCAAAATAGAGAGAAATCACCATGGTACTGCACACCTCCACCACCGAACAGTGAATCACCACACCAATAAAAAAAGGAATAAGAATGAATCTGCTATAATAAGGATAGAAATTGATTGTGAAGTACAATTTCGGCATAAGTAGTGCATCACGAGCTCTTCATCGGTCGGGTGGAACCGAAATCCTGGAGGCAATAGCAATTCCAATTCAATTTTTCTTCGAACAGTAGTAAAAATGGCGGAAACAAGATTTAAGAAAAGGAAGTGGAGGAAGAGGGGCTTTGGTGAAACTTAACACACAAGGGATGGTGACGACAGAGGTTTGAGAGTAGAGGTTGTGGTTTTTGACGGCGGTGGAGACGGTTGATGTAGCGGCGGATGGTGAAGAGAGTGGAGAGGAGATGGGATAAAAATTGATTTTAGGGTTTGAGAGTATAGAGACGGATGGTGGCAGCGGAGTTTTGAGAGTAGAGAACGGATGGTGGCGCCGGAGGAGGAGGATGATGAGGCGACTGTTGCACAGTAGAGAGACGGACGGTGAGAGAGTGGAGAATAGATGGAACAAAAAAATATTTTAGGGCCTGGATAGTGTAGATAGTGTGGGGGTTTGTATATAAATTAGTTTATAATATTATTATAAATATTAGGGTAATTGGCACAAAACGTCCCCTATGACGGATTTTGTGGAAAACGTCCATACGTTTTATTTTTTGGTGCAAAACATTCCTACCTTTACATTTTATTGCGCAAAACGTCCTTCCGTCCAATTCCCGTTAGAATGCACCGTTAAATAAAAAAAAAAGAAATTTTTATTTTTCAAACAGGAGGGTAAAACCGTCCAAACATCCGTGACTTCCATTCCTTCACTTCTAAACCCTCCAAACACCCCCAACCATCCAAAAACGTGTGCCACTGCAATTGTTTACGTTGCGGCTTTTGCAAATCTCCAAGGGCCCACCAATGAAGGTACAGCAAAGTGCTTGTTTAATCTTGATTTTACATCATCCAGTTCGAGTGGTAAGAAGAAAGAAAAAGGTTGTAATTCCTAAGTGTGTCGATTACTGTGGTGGTTTTGATAGTGGGGTTTTTAGTGTTTTGGTTTTTCCGACGGAGAATGAAGAAATTTTTAAAGCCAAAGTCAACAAATGTGACGAATAAGGTTAATGCAAGTTCTGGGCTGGATTCGATTAGAGGGAGTACTACGTTAATTAGGTTCAGATTTGATGAAATTATGGCCGCAACGAAGAATTTTTCTAGGGATAATATAATTGGGAGAGGAGGGTATGGGAATGTGTACAAAGGAGTGTTACAGATGGCTCTGAAGTGGCATTGAAAAGGTTCAAGAATTGTTCTGCTTCTGGTGATGCGAGTTTCACACACGAAGTGGAAGTTATTGCCAGCATTCGACATGTGAATTTGGTGGCTTTGAGAGGGTATTTTACAACGACAACCCCTTATGAGGGTCAAAGCATATTTGGCGAAAAACGAGTGGTTTAGCAAGAATTCGGCTGCTTCAACACACCCTTCGTATACAATAAAATGGAGCGGCGTCCATCCATTAGAATCAGTAATATCGGGATCACTTCCTATAGAAAGAAGAAATTGAAGTGCTTCAACATGTCCATGAATTGTTGCTACGTGAAGGGCTGTTTGGTTTTGAGAATTTACTGAATTCAAATCGATATCCACATAGCCTAAACACAAGATTTCCATTAAATCGACCTGTCCTGAAGCTGCGGTTTCGTGTAAAAATCTGTCATTTTTGTTGTCTATTGTAGAACCTGATTCAATCAAAACCTGAACAGAATCAACATTTCCAAATTTAACAGCCAGGGACAAGGCAGATTCTCCCTTTAAATCCCTCTCATTTACATCAGGCCGAAACGAAGTTGAATTCCCATTCTTTGCATCAAATCTAAGCAAAGAATTTAGCTGAGAGTCATCACACTAAGAAATTGCTTTTGAAAACAGAAAATTCATTTCCAGGGACTTGTTTGAAGGCGAAAGAAAAAATTCAACACATGGGGTCCAACAAATGAGATTGGTAGCGTAGCATCTTTGAATAAAATGATTTCCGGCATTTTTCCTTAATTTTTACAACATCATCCAAATTGATTTGCATATTACTTGCACTTTTTAGTTATGCATAACATTTGAAAAAGAAAAAGGCGGGATAGAAGTGAAGGGATGGAAGTTAGGGGTGTTTGGACAGTTTTACCCTTTTGTTTGAAAAACAAAAATCCTTTTTTTGGGATTTAACAGTGCATTCTAAATGGAATTGGATGGAATGACGTTTTATGCAAGAAAGTGTAAAGGTAGGGACGTTTTGCATCAAAAAATCAAACGTTGGGACGTTTTCCACAAAACCCGTCATAGGTAGGGACGTTTTGCGCCAATTACCCTAAATATTAAAATATTAATTTATAATAATCAAATGAATATCTGATTTTTGTACAATGAAACCTTTCTCCTGATTTTTGAATGTTGATTTTTAAAAGTAGGGTGTAGTGTAATTTCCACTTTATTTATATGGGTTTACATGAAAGGGAAGAATTCATAATTAAGATGTTTAGTTTTTACCATTTCAAAAATAAGAAAACAAGTTTCAAAATTCAAAAATCAGTTTTTTTAATTGTTATTTATGTAATAATAAATTATTAAATTAATTTGTTAAATATTTAATTCTAATATAATATAATTAACCCATCCCACATCCACCACCCCTACAGCTCCGGAGACTATTCCGGCGACTGTTCCGATTATCACTATACTCCGACGACTTTCCAGCGACTTTTCCGGTGAACTTTCCGACGACTTTTCCGATTCCGATCATTATTCCGACGATAATTAATTGGTCACAGATAATTTTTGAGATCATAAATCAAAAAATTTATAGGTCACGAATTATTTCAAAGACACAAATTAAAAATTTTATACGTCATAAATTATTTTGAGGTCACAATTCAAAAATTTTATAGGTCACAATTTGTTTATCGGTCACAGATCAAAAATTCTGCAGGTTACGAATTATTTCGAGATCACAAATCAATAATTTTATCGGTCACAGATTATTTTATTGGTCACGGATTAAAAAATTACAGGTCACAGTTACTTATCAGCCAAATATTTTCACATTTATTGGTCACAGATTAATTTTTAGTTACAAATTGTCGAATTTTAAGGTCACAGTTAGTCCATTATACGATTTTTTTTACCACCACCGACTTCTGTGACCACCACCTCACCACTGCCACCACCACAACCAGCACTAACACCATTACCGTCGACCGCCACCTGTATCACCATTGTCTCACCAACAAAAAAAACCCAAAAAACCACCGTACTGCCGTCTCGCCACCCCACCACCACCACTACCACCACATAAGCCATCACCGCACTGCCGTCATCTCCACCCCACCATCTCCACCACCACCACCACCACAACCACCATTTCTAACCAATACCCATTCACTGTTAATAAAAAACCATCGAGGTACCAACACCTTACCCGCACCACCACAGCCACATCCGCTACAGCAAAATCCACCACCATCACCGCACCCAACTGACGAGGCACACAAGTCACACCAGCTCCTATACGAGCATTGACAGAAATTGAAATGTTGGGACCAATCTAGTAAACATTCATAGAAAAGAAGTCAGCAATATAAAAGAAACAGAAAAAAATGCTTCAAAAGCACTCTAATTACCAAAAATGTTGACTGATGAGAATACTCGATGATGGCAGCAGATTACCTTGGCTGTTGGATGAACCTTTGCAGATGGATGAATATATACATCGCCAGAAATGGTGGCGTTCTAGGTCCCATCACCACTTGCCAAGAGATGGGGTGAGGTGAATTTGAACTGCGCAAGATATAAGGCAGAGCATTTCAAAGACATTCTGCAAAATATAAAGTATGCAGTCACATGAAATTGCTATGGGCACATTAGATATTAGAGGAATGAGTATTCATGATATTTTGGCGTCGGATCTACCATCACCTGCACCAACCGTCGTCGTCGCTGCTTCACTCTGCTGAAGTGACAACTGGGCAACGACACCACCACCACCACAACCACCATTTTCAACCAACACACATTCACTGTTAACAAAAAATCATCAAAGTACCGCCACATTCGCTACAGCCAAATCCACCGCCATCATCGCACCCAATACCATACGCCGCTGTCGCCAGATCTACCATCACCTGCACCAACCTTCGCCGCTGCTGTTTCACTCTGCTGAAGTGACAACCTGGACAACTGCCGCGATCTGAGGGTGGACAGTCTGGTGGTGACGGCGACGAGAGAGAAGAGAGGTAAAGAGAGAAAGGGTTTCAAAGGGGGGAAGGGAAAATGACATGGGGTGGTGGAGGGGGGTAGGGTTGATTTATAAATTAAATTAATTTAATATAATAATATATTTATCCAATAATAATATATGAATTAATAAAAGTTCTGATTTTTGAATAAACAAACCTTGTACCTGATTTTTGAAATATAGGGATTTGTGTAATTTCCACTACATGAAAACTTGGTTTAAAAGAACTAAAATTAAAAAGAATTCGAAATAAACTAAATGATAAAAGTAGCATTAAAACTTTAAAAGTAGTTTTCGAGTCCTAAACGAACTCGAATGACTAAAATTCATCATATTTCAAGGCAAAGCCGTGTGTTTAATCTGGCTCGTCGTTCTCTTTCCGAAATTGTATTATGAGCCCAAATTGAAATTCAAACATCAAATCTGTACTTTACCATTTTTTCCTTTTCAATCCAATTGTTCCTCAATCTATTCAGTCATCTGTTCTACATCAAAGATAAAGTAACATTAAGTCACCACCAACTCGTACTTTTGAATTGTAACGAGATTCAAGTTGTTGTTAAAACGTATCTAAGTTCAATTAAAGATTTTTATTTGTTGAAACTTTTTGGGAATTATATTTCAGTTAGTTATATGTGATTATAATTGAAATCGTGCATAGTTCACTCTGATTCAGGGTCCAGATTGATTAGGTTGGAGGACAGATGGCAGTGCCAAGAAAAGAAAAAAAGGAATCAGGAATGGTTTCACTCATACATGGTTTATAGGTTGAGAATTATGTAATAACCTAACTTTAGAAGCATGCAAATTGCAATAACGTTAGAAACATGTATATTGAATAGTGTATTTTATACACTTATTAAGGGTTTTAAATAATGACATTTTGTAGTTCTTTTGATGAAATATAATTTAATTTGTGTTATATTGTGTCTAATAGGTAAAACTCATGATTAGATCAAGAATTGGAGAAAACAAGCGAAAAATAGAGAAAATGGTGAAATCAAAACTTAGGGGATTAAAATGCAAAATTCAAAAGTTATGTCAGATTGCAAGACGACGATTCAAGAATGCCAAGACTCAATTGGAGTTGAAGAGAAGTCAATGGGTTGAGAAATTGACTAAAATGATCAAAATACACACGTGAAAAAATTCAGGGACCAATTTTCCAAAAAATTGTATCATGCGTACACATGGGCCTGCAGGCCTTGCGTATGCAATGTCATAAAAAGCATTACCCAAGGCCAAATTTCGTGTATTGTTCTTACGCGCCAAATGAACCATGCTTAAGCATGGTTCAATTTCGGGAAAAATTTGTGTTTCTGTAGCCCCTGTTTGTCTCCCATTAATCATTATGGTAGAAAAAATAGAATTTTGAATAATATTTTTTTTGAGAATGTGTGGTTAAAATTTAAAGAAATTTTATTGGTTTGTGTGTAGAATATTTTACTGTGTGAATATGTGGTGGAGAAATGATACTGTAGCAAAAAATTTAATTTTTAAAGGATGACGAACACACCCCTATTTTGTTTTGAAAAATTTTGTCATTTTATATATACCATAAGCCGTCCAAACCGTGGGGAACCTCCTTATACCTAAAAATTCATAGATTTTAATCAATTTTGGAGACAAAGAACAAGTCTAACAATGTGGAATTAAGGCGATTTGCATAGAATATTGAAGATTTTTCATTCGAATTCAAGATTCACATCAAGAACGTGGAAAATTTTTATTTCTTCATTATTTCTTCTTTTCAGGTGATGCTTTTCCAATTGTTCTTGTATAATTTAATTTTAAACATGTAAGACTAGTTTTTCAGTTATATTGGATGATTGATGAACCCTGTTTTTGGTTATTTCAATTTAAGACTTTAATTTAGATATTTTTTGTCATTTCTTAATTGATTTTGCATTCCCATTGTATTATTTAATTGTTTGGGCATCAATTGAATATTTAGTCACTTGTTGAAGTGTATGAATACTCACAATAAGTTTAGAACGCGGTAAAATCAATACATGTACAATAAGTATTAGGAATAATATCTATGACATGTGTAATCATATTGCTAATGTAAACTAAATGCATGATTTTCATATGAATTTGTACTAGGAATATGATCGGATCATGTTAATCATATGTTGGTGTATCTTAAAAAGAGCATTTAATATATTAGCATTATCGGTTGACAAAAATACATGAAATTAACTAGATTATTAATTGATAATTAAAATAGATGGAAATACGGGGAATCATGAATCAAATACAAGTATTCACATTCGATAAAACCAAATTTTACTTGCTTTATTAGTATGGATTAGAAGTAGTAATATAAACAACCACAAAATCACTATTTTGCTGTATGTTATTAGCCATGGCCTCTTCATCATCGCTCCGGCCCCAGTGTTGTCACTTTTAGATAAATAGATGTGTATGAAAATTCGTTTGTGAGAGAGAGAAAGGAAGAGAGAAACGAAAGAGTGTGTTCATGGGCACTGGCGGACGCAAAGAGGGTCACGTGAACCCCCAACTTATGGGATTTTTTGTTTTTGATAAAGTGTTGTTCAATATCGATTAAAATCTAAATTTTAATGCAATTCAAAGTTAACAATTAATTTTAATAACATATTTTATGAGATCCACAATTTTTCAATTTTTATTAAAATCTATTAAAAATATGGTCTTAATTCCCACCAAACTCGGACAAAATCACTATAAATTTAAACTATTCTCTCTCTCTCTCTCTCTCTCTCTCATGCGTTTTACAAAACCTTAACCCTTCTAATTTTTTAAAATTTGTCTATAATTTCTCTACAAATTATCACATGTCCTACAAAATATTCACTTCCCAATCAATTTTTCAACTAATTCGAACATAAATTTAAATTTTCTCCTATCAAATTGTGTATATAGAATGTGTCTGAAATGATTATGTCCAATTTGACTTATATTTCACGAATTGTGTTTATTTGATTGATTATTAGTATAAAATATTTGTTAGAGTAATGCTATTCATAGTTATTTAATGCATTAATGTGATAGTTTTTTTTACCACATTAATGCATTAAATACACACTTGACATGTATGTGCCACATAGGGCGACTGCTGCAATGAGCGACTGCAAATAGCATTATTCTATTAATATCCATATTCAGTGAACCACATTTCACTTACATGGTTTGACGTATTAACAATAGAAAGTACTTTACTTAAACTCCGAAATGACCTTCATTACCTTGTNCCTAAAAGCCCAAATCAAAAACCCCCCCCAAATCCCTATTTCCTTCATCTTCCAACTCTTTCTCTTCGGTCTTCGGTCTTCCGTCTTCTTCTCGCCTCTCGGCTTCTTCAACGGTGAACAACCTCTTTGAAGTATTTCAGGTGCTTGACTTGCAAGTTTTTGCCTCTCCACGTATCACATTAAAGCCGCTGGTCCCCAGCATCCCTTGTTTTGCAAGTATATTTGTTTCTCTTATGGAAAATGTGTATATTGACAGACTCATCTTTAGTTGATAATATTTATAAGGGAGTATAAAGAACGTATTTTAGCAGGGTTGGATAAAATTTGCATACTTTCTTCTCTTCTACTATACACTCATTTTTGAGATTAGACATTATATACACTAATTATCAAAAAAAGATAATATTCTTTTGCTACTATGTTTAAATGCCAAATATTATACATTTTGAAAGTCTGTCGATCTTTTTTTGTTTAAATCTCGCTTTGCAGCCTCATGTTGACTTTGGACTGAAGCTGCTAGGTGCTGATTCTATGTCAATTCCTGGGTTGTACAGATTTGTTCAGGTGATATTCTATGTTTGCCCTCCTACCCTTTTAAATTCCTCAGATTTCATTCGTTTTCTCCAATTCAGAGGTTGAATCCAAAAGGCCGTTTAATGGAATAATTTTGAGAATGCCAGCTTATGACCAAGAGTTGGACAAAGACCGAGTGGCTTATGAAATAATTTTGAGAATTTATGATGATATATGGTTTTGATCCTCATGAGTTTTTGTGCTTCTTTAGGAACTTATAAAAGATTAGGTTGAGAATATGTATCTATGGCCTAAAAGACTCCAGGTCGAGATAATGGATTCCTCGAAGTAAGTTCGCATGTTTTCCAACTTTTCATTTCATGCTAACAATTTTTTTCTAACATTAAACAAAATATTACTTGGTCATTTGACATAGCAATGAAGAAAGCAGTCAGGATTCTTTACGTTGAAGGCCTCGTAATAATCAGTCGCCTAGGGCCTCTAAATTCTTAGGGCCGGCCCTAGGCGACTGCTGCAGTTAGCGACTATAAATAGCATTATTCTATTTGTTATATGTTTGCCCTTCGATTTCCGAGACTTTTGCTTTACCAGAAACAATCTTTTTAATTTATATTTGAGTTATATTTAACGAATTTGTTATATGTTCTTCATTTCTGACTTTTGCTTTATCAGAAAGCAATGTCTACCAATCAATAAGGTTCCATATTATGTAGTAGAAAAGTTAAAATTATCACGACCCACCCCTGCCGAATTAACACTCATTCACATGTAGAAAGCATATATTGGAATAAAGACACTGCAGGGTGTATAGGAATATTCAAAAGCTTGGAAAAATCAATGTAGAGGCTTTGGATATATACTTTAATCTAAAAACTAACATCATTTCTAGGGAACTGGTTATATGAGACTTAATAAATCTTGTATGAAATACATAATTTGAACAAGCATATGAAATTCCTAGCCCATCGATACCAAATGAAACACCATTTTTGATTAATCCAAGTTCAGATGACAAGTCGTTTTTCGAGCAACAATGATCAAGTATGGTCTAGACGCATTTCATGCGTAATTAACATGATACATGAACAGTTCTTGTTTTTCAAAATTAACTTTTTCTTGAATTCATGATTTGCGAGTTAATACAAGCTTCGAAATGAGCCTAATATCGATAGGCTAATTCTTGCTTCTTCAATAATTAGCTCTTTGGCTCAAATAAATAAAAATATAGAATTTAATACTTATTTTCATTTTGGTCCTCAACATCTCAAAAGTATCCAAAGATGCTCAAATCAAAACCGTTAGCATCCTGCAGTGCTTCTCATCGCTAATCAATCTTGAACTCGTCACCTTTTCCGAGTAAGAGTGTGTTTGGGACACATTCTTTTGAAAGAATGTATTATTGAATAGTAGATTGATGAAAAATGTGTGGTTAAAAATGAAGGAAAAGTTATTGATGTGATGGAAAATATTATTTTATTGAAAAATGTGTGATTGAAAATGAGTAGAAGAATGAGAATGAAAAAAATAATGTGTACCAAACATGGCCTAAATGAGTATTTGTGCAAATTTTCCAAGGAAAAAGAATCAGGACTGGTTTCACATATGGTTTATAGATTGAGAACTATTTGTACAAATTTTCCAAGTAAATGAGTATTAGAATAAAATATTTTTATTTATAAAAATTTACTTTTTGAAATAAGTAATTTTCTTATCTAAAAATGTAAAAATTTAAATGCAGCAGTTTAATGGTTGACCACTGTTCATCAAAGAAAATTGTGTTCGTTTAGATGTAAAATTCTAGTATTTGTGAAAATATTTCCACAATTGATTCCAAAGAAGCTTTGTATTTCTATTTGTTTCCATATTATGTATCCAGACTAAACTTGAGACATCGACACAATTAGAAGAAGGGGTAGAGCTAACATGGGCAAGCCAGGGTGACCACACGCGGTGGGCTGGATTCGTCCTAGCTGCATGCAAGTTTGACAAGTTCCACGTCCAAAGTGAGATAAGTATAATTTTAAAAAGTTGAGGGATTAAAGTGAAATAAATATAAATTTAATATTTAATTGGATCAAATAATTAAATATTAATAGAGCGAATTAAATATTAATAGAGCGAGAATTAGTATATCAATATTGGGCTCGTTTTGTAGTTTGTATTAAATGATGCACCATGGACTCGAGAAAAAATTAATTTGGATAAGTTAGACCCAAAATATTGAAGTTTAAAGAATTTGCCATTAATTAATAATTTGTTTAGCCGTTTATTGATTTTAAGATAGTTAACAATCAGTGACGGATCCAGAATTGTTGGTTAGCTAAGACAATTGTTGATCATTAACCATTGACCATCAACAATAGTCAACGACCATAGAGAGGTTGTTTATTAATATTTTAATTAATATAAACTTTAAATTTCAATATTGTATCAATGTCAACAAATTCAACCGATCAATTTAATTCATCTAAAGTTTAAATGAGCAATAATAGATTGGTTTTCCTAAATGAGTCACCTCCTGAAAACATAAATTGCTCTTTTTAACATAAAAATTCTTCTTCGATACTAAAACCTTGTTCTAATGGACTTAGAGGTAACTATGTACTACTAATAATTACAGGAATTTTCAAGCTTTAACTATAACTGTATTTTCTGTTAATATCTTCATCTCCTATCGTCGGACAGGGTAACAAACCATGAGAAATATCTCCCACACAGTCTTTATGAATCCACAACATCAACATGCCAAAGTCAAGTAGTAATACAAAAGATTATTTAACTCACTGCCAATAAAATTAGCATGATAAAAGTTCCTAATAGGTACCTAGTAGTGAATGATAAAAAATAAAAGCCACAACTTGAACCCATTTTGGAGTAATTAATGTTGAAAAGTGTTACGGGTCTATGTCAGACCCTCCACCTTGACCACCACGTATCAGCATACATGGCCAGAGTATCGATTGGCCGAGGCGGTTACACATGGGACGATCTGATTGTATCCACTGAAGTGACTGCCTCCTAGAATGAGCTGAATATGCACCAGCAAATGAATCGGACTCATCCACAAATACGGGGTGGATGCAAAGGCCCGTACTCCGCTTCCATAACGCTACAACCCCCCACCTGCCTCGCCTCGTCGTCAAAGATCTCTTGTACAAAGATCTTTCCAAAATCAAATCCTGGCTGATGGAACGTGTGACAGGTCCCCAAACGGTCAACTCAGCTGCCATGTCAGAAAATATTAAATGCCAGCCAGCCTATGGATGGACAGATTGACACCTAGGATGGGGCGAATTTTGGAGATCTAGCAACATGTGTCTCCTCATCCAACGGTTCTCCTCTTCCCATCCTTAGTATAAATGCTCCCTCCTTATGTCTGAAGAGGGGAACTTTTCTAAGAGATTCAAGACATTACTACACCAAACACTTGGGTATTATCTTCTCCCCCACATTGTGGGCACTTCTATTATTATATACACATCCTCAAACCATTTCCCGGCGAGTGTCCTACCGCCAGCGAACCCCTTTTTTTGGTTAAAAACACCAAGCTGACTTGACCGTCGGAGTGCTTGCGGCCGCTTCCAACCCCTCCGGGAAAGGCCACGAGCGACTGACGGTGTGCCACGTGTGCAGGAAGGATCTGACTTGAAGACATGTTCTGTCGGCCACGTGTCGTAACCATTTTTCGAGGTCAACAGATTGGCGCCGTCTGTGGGAGCCAACTTAACCACGAGTTTTTCCACCAAAAAGCTGCTTGAACATCCGGTTGATATTCCCCATTTGAGAAAGGGACTGATTCTTGAAAAAAGGATCCTTCAGCCGCTTCGGGACATGAGTTCCAGCAACGAAGGGGAAAATGCAGGGGCAAGGGACGTCTCTAAAGAAGAGATGATCTGTACCAATTTCAATCAAGAACGACCTCACCACCGTTACTACCGAGGTGGGAGAACTGCCGCACGTTTAACGACCGAAGTAGCCCAAATGGCTGCTAACATGAGGGCCATCGCGGCTCAGAACGTGGCCATGCAAGAGCTTCTCAGGCAAGTGCAAAGTCCGGGCAATTTTCAAGCCCCACAATATCCCCAACAATCTACTCATAGACATGTAGAGGCGGAATCCAACAGGGGAACTCACGTGAGTCCCCAGGAGGAAGCTCCTATTGAAAGAGAGGTAGGGATGGACACTTCTAACTATACTGCCGCCCCAGTCAGCGCCATAGCAGGAGAATACAATTTTCCTCCAAAGTACGAGGAGCAACCTCAGAGATCTGTTAGCGTTTTTTACCGGATAGGACGGGCACCTAGAAATAGGGAGCAGCCCCGCCAAACTGCTCCTCAGCAGAGGCGAGAACAAAGCCATGAAACCTAGAACCCCCTCCTAGAAATAGGCGGGAGAGGCGAAGTCAAGTGGACTGGGGAAATAGGGCTGAAACAGCTTAGCGTCCATCCCGTCCAGCAACAGATGGGAATGAGTTGGACGAACCCTGTAGGTCGTACGAGCTGGATGATGATGATGACAACTTGCCTTTCTCCAGAGAGCTTCGTACCTTTCCAATGCCTCAAAACTTCGTCCCTCCAAAAATCCGCAAATACGAAGGAAAAGGTGATTCGAAAAAGTACCTCAACAAGTACAAAACACAGATGAGCCTCCGTGGCGCCTCACCAGCTTTGAAGTGCAGAGCTTTTCACCTGACGCTTGGTGGAACTGCTGAAGTGTGGTACAGAAAAAGGCATTCTTGAACCAATACCTCTCAAGAAAGGAGGGAGAAGCTTCGATTCAGCGCTTGCAAGACATAAGACAATCGGCAAGGGAGACCTTGAAAAGCTACCTTGCCCGTTTCACCGATGAGATAACTTACTGTGAGCAGGTCACGGACAAAGAGGCCCTGTCAGCTCCGAAAGGAGGCTTGAACATGAACACTTTATTCTGGAGAAACGTCCGAAGCAAGAATCCTTCAACGTATGATGAATTAGTGGAGATGATGAAAGTTGAAATCGTCAATGAAGAAATGATTAACCACCGGAACAGAGCCGCCCAGGGGCTCCCAGCGCCTCAAAGGCAGATGAGCAGAGGACCCACCTCTCAAATAGTAAGTCAGCAGTGGACTCAGGCCGGGCCCACTGTGGCCCCCACTTCAGGACAGGTATTGGCCACAGCCACTTTGAATGCAGTCCCCACCTTGGCTTACGAAAACGCTGGGCCGAGTACAAGCAACCCTGTCAGAAACAATGGACGGCCTTCAACCTCTAGAAATAGGGGGAGGGGAGGAAGGCCTAGATAGGCCTAGAGATAGGCCCTCAGAAGTGCGACCCTATTGTACTCTCCATCGCCACTATGGCCATGATACCAACTATTTTATGGGGGTAGGAAGACTGGCGAGCAACCCTCGTAATAGCAGGAATCACTACTACGAAGGCACCAGTCCGAGGCCTAGTCCCCCAGAAGGGGAAAGACGAGACGACACTCTCCACACAGTAGAAACGACAGTAGGGACAGGCCCCGAGATGGGCAGCGCCCCAGGAGAGACTCAGCCACCTCGAACGAACAGCAGCCGATACGTGAAATCGATACCATCATAGGAGGGCCCCACGTGGGAGGCGAGTCAAAAAATGTACAAAGAAATTACACTAGGGAGGCAAAGACCCAGCCTATGACCAGCTATACAGTTAGCCGATCGCATGAGGGGAGAGCTGTTGAGCCCATTACGTTTACACAGGACGATGCGACGGGTGTACACTTCCCACATTGTGATGTCTTGGTAGTCAGAGCTATTGTGGCAAGCAACGGGCTGAAGCGTATGCTGGAGGATAATGGTAGCTCAGTCAATATCCTGTTTGGCACAACCTTCGACAAAATGGCAATGGATCACGAGCTGACACCAATGAGCTCGCCCCTTTACGGATTCATCGTAGACCGTATCATTCCCAGGGGAAAGATTACTCTGGCTGTTGAAATGGGAGCCTCACCCCAGATAGCACACCACTTCATGGAATTCCTGGTTGTGGACCGTCGATGCGCCTACCATGGAGTTTTGGGGAGGCCCGCCCTAAAAGAATTATGGGCAGTCACTTCTATTTATCACCTCTGCATGAAACTCCCAATGGAGCGAGGGATTGCCACTATCAGAGGCGACCAGATGGGATCCGGGAGTGCTATCTCAATTCGTTAAGGAAGGCAAAGCCGCAAGTTAACATGGTACTAGACGCTGAAATGACGAAGGCCCTTGAAGAAGGGCAACCCCCGACACAAGATGTCATCATGACGGAAGCCAGACCCTAAGTGTCTTTAGAAGAACTGGACCCTAGGATAATTGAGTCGGAGTCACAAACTGCCCCAATGGAAGAATTGGAAAAGTTCCCAGTGGACCCCCAAGACGCATCCAAGGTCTTGCAGGTCGGAAAGCAACTGGACGAAGAGATTAGGGAGGAACTGAAGAACTTCATTCGACAGAACTCAGACATCTTCGCATGGAGGCATGAGGACATGATTGGCATAGATCCCAAGGTCAGTTGCCATCACTTACAAATTGACCCGGGCTATACTCCACACAGGCAGAAGAGAAGGGCGTTGAATGCCGAAAGGTATGAGGCCCTGAAAGAAGAAGTGGAACGGCTCATCAGTAATGGCTTCGTTCGTGAGGCCAAATATCCAAAGTGTATTTCAAACCCGACACTTGTGAAGAAGCATAATGATAAATGGAGGGTTTGCATCGACTTTTCAAACCTAAATCAGGCCTGCCCAAAAGATAGTTTCCCGCTTCCGCGGATTGACCAGTTGGTAGATTCGACCTTCGGGCATGAATTGTTGAGCTTCATGGACGCTTATTCAGGCTACAATCAGATACCTATGTTCTCAGGCGATGAAGATAGCACCTCCTTCATCACGGATAGAGGGCTTTACTGTTACAGGGTGATGCCTTTCGGCCTGAAAAACGCGGGAGCAACCTACCAAAGGTTGGTCAACAAAATGTTCGTCGATCAGCAAGGCAAAAAAATGGAAGTATATGTTGACGACATGCTTGCAAAAAGCCTCGTGGCTAAGGATCATATCAAGCATTTGACCGAAGCGTTCAACACCCTGAGAAGATACGACATGAGGCTGAATCCCCTGAAGTGTGCTTTCGGTGTAGTTTCGGGTAAATTCTTGGGCTACATCGTAAATCAGAGGTGGATAGAGGCCAACCCAGAAAAGATTAGGGCTTTGATAGAAATGAGATCACCTCAGAAACCTAAAGAAGTACAACGGCTCACTGGTAGAATAGCCGCACTCAACCGCTTCATCTCGAGGGCTACTGAAAAGTGCTTGCCCTTCTTTAAAGTCCTCAAGGGAGGCAATAAGTTCCAATGGACCCCAGAGTGCGAGGGAGCGTTCCAAGAATTGAAAAACTACTTGGGACGAACACCGCTCCTTAGCAAACCAAGAGAAGGAGAACCCTTATTGTTATCCTTGGCCGTGGCCGAGGGTTCAATCAGTTCAGTACTTGAACGGGAAGAAGAAACACACCAACTGCCAATCTACTATGTAAGCAGAGCCCTGCTCCCCGCCGAAGCCCGATACCCAGACATGGAGAAATTAGCTCTTTCTCCACTTCTCGGAAACTGAGGCCGTATTTACAGGCCCATAGCATTCGCGTCCTAACAAACTTTCCACTGAGGCAAGTCTTACAGAAGCCAGACGCATCGGGGAGGTTACTAAAATAGGCGGTCGAGCTTAACGAATTCGACATAACTTACGCGATCCGGACAACCGTCAAGGGTCAAGCCTTAGCTGACTTTATCGTTGAGTTCGCAAAAACCCCCGAATTCGAAGTAAATATGGAACCAGCAGAGCCCCCCACCTGGAATCTCTTTGTCGATGGCTCGTCTGGAGAAACAGGCTCCGGAGCTGGTATTGTGCTAGAAAGCCCAGAGGGGCACAAACCCAACTGCGCCGTGAGGCTCGGATTCAAAGCTTCTAACAACATGGCAGAATACGAGGCCCTCTTAGCCGGACTTAGGCTAGCCAAGGAACTACAAGTGAGGAGGCTGATTATCAGCAGTGACTCACAGTTGGTGGTGAATCAAGTTAATGGAAACTTCATGGCCAGGGATAAACACATGGCCGCCTACCTGAAGTTGGTTATGAACTCTTTGCCAGACTTCGAGAAGTTTGAACTGATTCAGGTGCCTCGCCAGGAAAATTCTCATGCGGATGCCCTATCAAAGCTGGCCAGCAGCAGAGACTCTAAAATGCTCAAAATGGTACCAATCGAATACTTAACAAAGCCCTCCATTAAGAAATGTGAAGAGCTGATGTGGGCCAAAGCACACCGTCCTGGATGGTGCCTATCTTGGCCTACATGAAAGAACAAACCTTGCCAGAGAATGAAACTGAGGCGCGGAAGCTTCGAAGGAGAGCTTCTCACTTCGTACTCCGAGATGATATTTTATACAAGCGTGGTTTTTCCTCTCCACTCCTTAGATGCATAGGGGGGGGAAGAAGCGAACTATATCCTCAGAGAAGTACACGAAGGCATTTGTGGGAATCACTCCGGTGGTCTAGTCTTATCCTACAAGATACTAAGGCAAGGGTATTACTGGTCAACCCTGAAAAGGGATGCCATGGAATTTGTACGCAAGTGTGATAAGTGCCAGCGATTCTCCAATGTGCAGAAGCAACCATCTCAAGAACTTACCATTGTAACTAGCCCGTGGCCTTTTGCCAAGTGGGGAATAGATTTCATTGGCCCCTTGCTAAAGGGACGAGCGAGTGCGCGCTTCGACATAGTCGCTATTGACTACTTCACCAAATGGGTGGAAGCAACGCCTCTGGCCAAGATTACTGAGGCCAACACTTCCAAGTTTCTCAGGAAGAACATCATATGTCGGTTCGACATACCTCATTCCTTGGTTGGGTGGAAGCAGAACCTCTAGCCAAAATCACGGAGGCCAACACATCTAAATTTCTTTGGAAGAATATCATATGCCAGTTCGGCATTCCTCACTCCTTGGTCTCTGACAATGGAAAACAGTTTGATAACAAGAAGATTCGGGATCTATGTGTCGAATTGGGGATCAGAAAGCATTTCTCTTCACCTCACCATCCCCAAGCAAATGGCCAAGTCAAAGCGGTCAACAAGACCATTAAGCTCACCCTGAAAAGAAAGCTGGATGCCTCCAAGGGAGCCTGGGTGGATGAACTCGTCCAGGTCCTATGGGTAGTCAGAACCACTTGCAAAACAGCCACAGGGAAAACACCATTTTCCATGGCCTATGGAGCTGAGGCGATGAGCCTCGTAGAGGTTGGTGTTCCGTCTCCCCGACGTCTCCACTTCAACGCAATAATGAACAATGATCTGAGGAGACTTGAGCTGGATTTCCTGGAAGAGAAGAGAAATGAATCCTAGGATAGGCTCGCCTCTTACCAACGGAAGATGATACGCTACTATAACGCCAAAGTGAAGAAGAGAGTATACCGCGTTGGCGACCTCGTACTTCGCAAAGTTTTCCCATCAACCAAAGATCCCGGCACAGGAACTTTAGGGCCGAACTGGGAAGGGCCGTATCGCGTCAACACAGAGGTTAGGCCTGGAACCTATAGAATTGAAGATCTGAATGGAAAGATGATGCCTCACCTCTGGAATGTCGAACATTTGAGGAAGTATTATCAGTAGGGAATATGTACTATTGTGAATGTTGCCATCATATAAATGCTTTTTGTTCACTTTGCTCTTGCATCGACACATAAAACAAACTTGGCAATGTGCAAGCACATCCAAAGCGTACACCCCCAAGGAACTCTGCCCAGTCAGGGATGGTACGGGTGCCACCCTTGACGAAGCAGCAAGCGCACATCAAACAAACTTGGCAAGGTGAAAGCCCATCAAAATGGTACACCCCCAAGGAACCCTGCCCAGTCAGGGGTAGTGCGGGTGCCACCCTTGACGAAGCAGCAAGTGCACATCAAATAAACATGGCAATGTGGAAGCCCATCAAAAGGGTACACCCCCAAGGAACCCTGCCCAGTCAGGGGTAGTGGGGGTCCACCCCTGACGTAGCAGCAATCGCACATCAAACAAACTTGGCAAGGTGCAAGCCCATCAAAAGGGTATACCCCCAAGGAACCCTGCCCAGGAAGAGGTGGTGCGGGTACCATCCCTGACGAAGCAGCAAGCGCACGTCAAACAAACTTGGCAAGGTGCAAGCCCATCCAAAGGGTACACCCCCAAGGAACTCTATCCAGTCAGAAGCGGTACGGGTGCCACCCTTGACAAAGCAGCGAGTGCACATTAAGTGACTCCAATGCGACATTACCTATTCATTGGTTTCTTCCATTTTATTAAGTGGTTAAGTGGGTCCGATGCGTCATTACTTATTCACTGGCTTCCTCCATTTTATTAAGTGGTTGAATGAGTCCGATGCTTGGTTATTCATTGGCCTCTTCCATTTTA